TGTGTACATCCACATTGAGTGATTTGGAAGAGATTTTATTCTCCGCATGGTAGCGGAGCTTGGCTCCAGAGTTGTTTGGTAACATTGCTACCTATGGCGACACGTTCCAGGTCACCAGATCACTCAGACAGGAGACCACAGTCTGCAGGACCTCGACGTTTGCATGTTGCTGAACCAATCCTGCAGCTGGATAATGACATCCAGGCAGTTCGACAGAATGTGGCCAATCAATTTCAGACGGTTCGAGGAGAGATGACGGCAATGGGCACAAGTGTTCAGCAGATGAGCACGCGTATTGAGCAGTTGTCTGGGACTTTGCACTCCTTGGTGACACATTTGACTCAGCAAGCGCAAGCACAACCTCAAATTGTTCCGGCTCCATCACAGGTGCCAATTACACCTGTTGCTTTGGGCCGAACCGCTCCAGGATCTTTGAATCCCTCGCCTGAAAGGCCTGCTGGATATCCAAATGTGGAGAGTGGAATGGGTTTCTTTGATCATCCTCATTTGGGATCATCGCCGCCGATGATTTCAGCTGATGGTTTTGGGCAAGAGAGTCAACCTGCGCCTTCAGTTGCGGGTTCTCGTATGTCAGTGGATGACGGCAAGAACATGTCGAGAGCAGATCGCTGGTTGGGGCCAGTGGAAAAGCCAAAGGTGTGGAAAGGAAGACTGGAAGAGATTGTTGGATTTCAATCCTACTTTTCTTATCTGCAGAGCTATTTGGGCAACCTGTCGGACAGGTATCCTCGAGAGATGAACATTGCTCGAGCATCGTCGAAGCCAATTATGCAAGGTTCATTAAGTGGATCGGAGGTCGTTCGTTCGGTTCGATTGCAAAGCCTTCTTCTGCAGCTGTTTTCCGACATTTCCAAAGCCAATGGTATTCTGCTTTCGTACAATGAGTCGTGTGAAACTCCGTGTGGTTATGAGAGTTTGCGTTTGTTATGCCGGGAGTTTTCTTTATACAGCACCACTGAGGCTCTTCCGTTTCGCAACCGTATCCTAGCCAAGACATACAAAGAAGCATCAATCACAGAAGTGTTTAACACTTTTGATTTGGAAGCAGCACGATATGCGAGACTCATTTCGTCCCTAGGTGGAGCCCCAGGAAGCAACAATTTGCAGCTTTCAGACGCCGATAAGTGTACCATCATTTTGAGATCCCTTCCCGAGCGTTGTCGAGAGTGGACAGTTTTGGGACTGCAAACTTCGTCATTTGATGAGGTTAGGGAGAGAGCACTTTTGTGGGAGCATCGACATCGCTGTTGGAGTGAGCTTGAAAAGCCAGTGAGCACGTTGAAAAGTTTCCAAGGTGGGAAGGATGACAAAGGAAAAGGTAAAGGGAAAGCTGGCAAAGGTGGCAAGACAAACAAAGGAGAGTCCAAAGGGGAGCCTAAAGGTAAAGGAAAAGGTCAGGAGCAAAACAAAGCAGTCGGAACAGGAAAGGGAGGTGTTTGCTATTTGTGCGGCAAACCTGGACATTTTGCAAAAGATTGCCCCAAAGCAAAAGATGTTGCACAGCAAGAGCGTTTGATTTGTCACAAATGTGGAGGCAAAGGTCACATTGCAAGTGTTTGCCCGTCGTCGAAAGCAAGCAGTAAGGGAACAGGGGGAGGTAAAGGCCAAAAGGGTAAGAAAGGGGGAAAGTCATCACTCAAAGGAATGCAGTTTGAGGATGCTGCAGATCCTGTGCCGGAGCCTTCGCCCACGCATGAAGAAAGTGAACCGCCAATTATCCAAATGAGCTGTTTGTTCGCGCAAGGGTCAATGAGTAGGTGTCGATTTGACGTTTGTGAGCCCAATACGCAAGAGACATTCAGATGGTTTGAAAACCCATGCGTTTTCATGAGCAGTTCATGGTTGGCATTCGGTATCCTTTTGCTTTTGATTTTGGGCCAAGTGGTTCGTCATGGAATTGTGCAAGAAACAATGCATTGGGTGTTTGTTTTGATGGGTTCGTGCGTCCTTCATGCCTTTGTCAGTGCAGAACGAAACCAACTTAGTGAGAGAGACGGCCTTTGTGAACCGCTTTTGTCCTGTAGCCTTAGGGGACGTTCAGATCTTAGTGTGGATTTCTTTCGAAAACAAGTTGACAAGTTGCTGCAGGAAGAGACATTGAGCTGTTCAATCACATTTGCTGGCCTGTCAGGTGCTAAGGATCAATTGACAGGTGAATCAGATGAGTCCGAGCCTTTTCCTCAGTCTGTGAACCAAGTCAGCTTAGATGATCTCACTAGAAATCGTTTTTGGCTTTTGGACAGTGGAGCAAGCGCTCATGTGGTTCGTGAGGCAGATCTGCAGGTGTTTGAAGTGATTTCTCGAAAACAGGTTGAAGCCAAGTTCACTGCAGCTCACGGCAATTCGATTTACATGAATGAAATTGCAACGGTAGAGGTTCCTGTAGTGATGTTGATCGCTCAAGGGAACCGAATGGTGAGAAAGACAATTGTCATCCAATTAGATGCTTTTGTGGGAGATGTTCAGTCGAACGTCTTGTCAATTGGTGCCTTGACGCAGCGGGGTTGGGAGTTCCATGTCACGAAGGCGGGAGGTGGACTTGTGCACAAGAAGCATAAGTTGTCGGTACCCATGTATTGGTTTGCAAATTGCCCTTGGATTGCCAGTGACATTGACAGTCAGTCAATCCAAACGAAGCAAGAAACGAAACGATCAAATACAATGCAACTGCAGTTGAAGCCATTGGTTGCTTTTGAAAGTGCAAAAGAAGAAGAAGCACATCGTTTGAGAGGTCATTTACCACCAGATCCGAGGCATTGTCCGATCTGTGCCAAGGTACGTGGAGTGTCCCAAAGCCGTCGCAAAGACGTCGTGTTGTCACAGATTCAAGCTGATTTCTGTTTTGTTCAGATCAATGAAACCAGTTTCAAAGTCCTTGTTCTGGCCCATGGGGAGACCGGATGTATTGGAGCAGCTGTGTGCGGTGCGTCAATCAATACAACCATTCAGAGAACTCGAGATTTTCTGGCTTTCTTAGGTTTGACGGGACATGGACCTACAGTGGAACTGACGACTGATGCAGAATCAGCTGTTTCAAAGATTGTCAAACAATGCAACTTGGATGGAAGACATGTTGTTGTGCAAAGGGCAGCTCCTCAGGAACACCAAACCATCGGATTGGCAGAAGGAGCGAACAGGAGATTGAAAGAAGGATTGGAGACCATCAAGATGGAGTTAGATCAAGGCGGAGTCAAGATGTGTGCCAATGAAGGTGCTTTACAGATGCTTTTGACCTATTGGTGTTTAGCTTACAATCGTTTTTCAAAATCAGAGTTTGGGAGAACTCCCAAAGAGGAACTATTTGAGAAACAGGTCAATCCATCTTCAACTGCGCGTTTTGGACAGAAGGTGCTTGCAGAGTGTCCGGAGTCATTGAAGGCTTCGAGTCGATTTGTTGAGGCGATGTATCTGTCAGGAAAACTAGATGGCCAATTGGGTCATTTGTGTGGCACGATGATTGACGGAGAAGCGAAGTTATTTACAGCAAGAAATATCAAGTTGATCATTCCCTCTTCTTTTGCAACAGATTTGTTTCCTGACATCATTGAGGTGATTTCAGATCATCCTCTTCCACAAGGTGAGCAAGATGACTTGGAAGTACTCGCCCCCAAATCGGAGCCTCCTAGGTCAGCTGTCGAGAGTAAGTCTTTCATTCCGTATGATGGCAAGAGCAACCCTCCTATCCAGTTTTACAGAGAACATGGATTCAGCAAGAACTGCAAAGCTTGTGAAGTCGGGGTGAAGGGCAGAGTTCATTCTTCAGCATGTCGCAAAAGATACATGGATTTTCTGAAAGACGAAGCAAAACGAGCAGTGGAGAAAGACCCAGAGAAAGAAAAGGAGAAAGAGAATACCGATCACATGGATGCAGAATCAGAAGAGTATACCCCAACAGAGCCACTGCCTCCAGATGAGAGACCGGAGAGGTATCGAATTACAGGGAAGTCACCAGCTGGTCATTTGTTCCAGCCACCACCAGCAAATTCTCACCACCATGATAGTTCACCGCCTCAGGATGAGTTCATGGAAGGAAGTAGTCCCCCTTGGACTGCCAATGCTGGGACTCATGAGGATGAGGCGATGGATATCGATGCAGATTTGAAACAGATCATTCAACAATGTTTGGTGGGGTGTGAGAAGAGTTGGGATGGCATGTTGGACAGTTTCTATTTGACAGACATGTCACAACCAGGGGTCCTTTATTCTATTCGATATGATGAGATCAAACGAGAATCAATAGAAGTTTGTGGGACTCGAGTGTGGCAAGCCGTGCCGACATTGGTGCGTGACGAGTTGTCATCAGAATTGTTGGATGCGAAGTTGACCCTAGCTGGGATTCGGAGAGAATATGGGCATATGTCAGAAAAACAGATTGGGACATGTGCTTCAGGAAATCAAGCTAAGCAATTGGCAATGGAATGGGGGATCAGAATCATCGGAACTCGATGGGTGATTGTGCGCAAGATCCGGAAGACAGAATCTGGACCAATGGAAGAGGTGAGATGTCGGTGTGTGGTTCAAGATGTGAGGGATGGCACCTCGGCAGTGATGCATGGATATTCGTCTCCCACGTCGTCGGTTGAAACATTGAAGATATTGTTGGCTGTGGCGGGATGGTTTGACTATGCGGTATTGACTGCCGATGTAGCCACGGCCTACATGTCATCACCATTGCCTGATGATGTGAAGGCTATCATTCGATTGCCTGCAGGAACCATGTATGGTGATGGTACTCCAGTGTATGTGATCTTGAAGAATGCTATCAACGGACTTCGACCAGCATCACTGGCTTGGGTGTTGTTTTTTCCGCAATGTGGTAGAGCAGAAGTTGAATTTGTCACATTCAGATCTCGATCCTACTGTTTTCACCGGGTATTTTGAGGGCAGTTGTGTCGCAGTGTTGACTTATGTCGACGATTTGTTGTTCATAGCCAAGAATTTGAACATCTGCCGCAAGATGCTCAGTGCTTTGAGAGAGATGTTGGAAATCAAGGAGACCGGTGCTATCGGAAACAAAGCAGAGAAAGGTGGAGAGTTGACTTTCATTGGCCGAAGAATGATGCGATTGGAAGGATCTTCCAAGCTATATGTGACAATGGAGCAGAATTTCAATGATGCTTTGAAGAGTGCTGGAAAAGGGTTAAAGCCAGCAGATGCTATGCCAGATTTGAAGCATTATTTGGAAGCTGATGATCCCGCTTCACTGGAACCACTTTCGCCGGACAAGCAGACAGAGTTTCGATCTGCACTAGGAAAGGTTTTGTGGATGGTGCCTTTTCGACCTGATTTGGCTATAGCCACAAGCCTTATATCCACGGGTCAGGCCACTCCCCAAGTGAAACACAGCCGCGCCTTGAAGGCAATGCTTCGATTTGTTCTAGGTACTCTGGATTTTGCACAGTCCTTTCCCATGGATACAGCAGAAGAGTATTTAGCCTTTCTGGAAAGACAATGCATTGAGACCACTTTAGTTGTTTACGCAGACGCGAGTTACGCCCCCATGCGAAGCCTCGATAGGAGATCAATCAGTGGCGCAGTCATTGTCTTTTTAGGATCCATGATCCGAGCATTTGCAAAGACGCAACACAGCGTTACACTCAGCTCAGCAGAAGCTGAGTTGGAAGCATTGTTGGCAGCCGTGCAGGAGGGTCGAGGCCTGTTCAAGATCAGTGCCTTTGTGATGGGGTTGAATGAAGTGTTTCATGAAGGTCATGTAGAGTTTCATGATGAGTACGGAAGTAGGATCAAAGAAATGATTGTCTTGACAGATTCCTCCGCAGCCAAGGCAGTGCTTTTGCGACAGGATGTCCAACGGAGACTTAGGCATAGTGAAATCAAGCTAGAGTTTCTCAAAAGCTTGGCTCGAAGGGGTTTGATCAAGATTCAATGGCAACCAGGGTTGGAGAACCCAGCTGATGCATTGACCAAGGTGGTCACTCGTGCCTTACAATTGCAATACCGGGCATTTTTGGGCCTGGTGAATGTGCAACAGATTCTTGCGAGTTTGTGTGCTCCACTGATTTGTCAGGACTTGCATGACTCGTGTCAGGAAATGTCATCGTCAGATTCGGAAGCAGAGTCAGAACCTCAGTCAGATGTAGAAAAGGGTTTCTTCAATGCAGAGGGGAAGTTTCAAGGACCAACCTTGTCCTTGAATTTTTCAGGAGATTCAGAATTTGTCGCAGACTTCCTCAGGGATGTTCGTGTTTTCGGCTTGCAGCACGCTGAAAAGAGTGAGATCGAGGACATGTGGAATTCATGGCGGTGCGATTATTTGCATCGTTATTTGATGATTGAGTTTTGCTGTGCACCTGATTCGCTTTTGGCCGACCAATGGATGAACCAGGGTGAGAAGTACGTGGCTTGGAGGGTCACGTGTGGAGGAGAATTGACAGAAGTCCTTCTTCATTTGCAGGCAACATTTGATAGGTTTGTCGCAAGTCGAGAGAAGTGTTTTGTTTGGTTTCATTGTTCTTTGCCGTGCTCGGGAGGATCTCCTCTGAATTTTCATAGACATCTTGAAGATGGTCGAAGGCAGCGTTTGAACCTGGTCCGTGCCTTGTTCAAGCAACTGTTGAAGCAAGCGAATGCTTTGTATCAGCACATTCGGTCGAAGTGTCAAAACACGCAATTCACATTTGAACTTGCAAAGACATGCACGTATTGGAAATGGAAGTGTTTGGACCAGATTCGCCGTTGGTCACCAGGTTTGGTTTTTGCAGCTCTTGTTCGTTTGTGCCAGTGTCGTGAAGGTAGGGTGAGTCAATCCATAGGCATTTCTAAGACATGGAGAGTGCTGTCCAACTCGGAGTCTGTGGTTCGGTCGTTGAATCGGAAGTTTAGCAATTGCGAATGTCACCAGCATATTTTGCCTAGCTATTCCTCTACGGCCTTCTATCCACGATCTTTGTGTGAAGCACTAGTAGCGTTGACGATTCAATCGTTGATCCAGCATCGAGAGAGTGAAGAGCCCAAAGATGATTTGAGCTCGAGACCGGTGTGGCTGAAATGAGAACTGGAAATGGTCGTGAAGACCTCGCATAGTGGATGGTCGTGAAGACCTCTTTGAACTGCAGTTGTGAAGCCAGGTGAAATGTGAGTTTTCACCATGTGTGAGTTCCCGGGAGTCCAAATTGCAACCACTGCAGAGGGGTGTGGAGATTGTAAACCTTATCCTCGTCCATTTGTGCATGTGCTTTG